AAAAAAGGGCAAAAGCACTTTTCTTCCCCTTCTCTCTCCTCTACCTATAAACCTCCCATGTGAGCCTTGTTGTATGGCATGACTTCTCTTGGCACCGTTTTTTAAATAAATTATAACAGATGATTCACAGCAAATACATGATCTTGATGATTGCTTCAGACTCACTACCGCTCCCTGGAGGCTTCAGCACAAACATCACAACAGCAACTGAGAAGTAAGCTCTATTTCATGGCCAAGGTGGTGGAGCCTTCACAGCAGCCAACATCACTGCAAACAGCCTAGATGGAGAAGGCTCTGCCTCTCTGCCCCTCAAATATCAACTAGGGAAATTACATAATAAAACAAGGTACCTTGGATACAACCTTCTCTAAGTCAAATGGCAAGCCAGTCAATCTTTTGTTAAAGACATTACCATTAACTCAAAAGAAGGCTCCTAAATTAGAAGGAAAAAAATCTGAACTCCTTTAGCTTAAAAAAACAGTATATACAGCCCAAAGGTGGTGGTGGTGGTGGTAGTGCATGCCTTTAATCTTAGCACTTAGGAGGCAGAGGCAGGTCGATCTCTGAGTTTGAGGCCAGTCTGGTCTATAGAGTTCTAGAACATGCCAAATCTATATAAAGAAACCCTATCTCGAAAAACCAAAAAAAGGAAATATTTGTCACTGACTATTCTTCAAGGTATGGTTTCACTAAGTAATAAGTTGAACCCAAAGAAAAACATATATAGACTCACCTGGAAATTGGAATCAGACAAAAATTTGGGAGCGGGGTGGGGGGGCAGGGATAGAAAGTAAGGGAGAAGGGGGTTTGAGGAGAACTTGAGGGAATGGGATAGTCAAGATGGAGGAAGGACAGATATGAGAGAAAGAAAAGAGATACCTTGATTGAGAGAGCCATTATGGAGTTAGCAAGAAACCTGGCCCTAGAAAAATGCCCAAAAACCCACAGGGACGACCTCAGCTAAGACCCTAAGTAATAAAGGAGAGGGTGTCTTTGCTGGTCTTACCCTGTACTGATGATTATCTTAAATACCACCACAGAACCTTTGTCCAACAACAGATGGGAATAGAGGCAATGACCCACACCGGAGCACTGGACTAAGCTCCCAAGATCCAGTTGAATAGAGGAAGGAATGAGAAATGAGCAAGGAATTCAAGACCATGAGGGGTTCATCCACCAAGACAGTTTGCTTGGGCTAATGGTAGCTCACCAACTCCAACTGGACTGGGAGTAAATGAGCATGGGAAAAACCAAGCCCCCCTGAAGGGAGCTGACAGTTGGGGCAGACTGAGGGGCCACTAATAGTGACACTGGGATTTGTCTCTATTGCATGTACCAGCTTCTTGGAATCCTATTCCCTATGGATGTAAACCTTGCTCAACCTAGATGTAATAGGGAGGGCCTTGGACTTTCCACAGGGTGGGGTGCATGGCACTCCCTTAGGGTTGAAGGGGTGGGGTGGGAGGGTCTATGGAGGGAGAGGGAGGGAACTGGGAGGAGGGAAGGGAATGGAAATTTGGATTGGTATTTTTTAAGTAATAAAAAATAAATTCAAAAAATAGCAAAACAATAAAAAAGATATGGTTTCATAGACTTTTTTCACTCTTATAAAACATCTTCACTAGAATAAAGGAAAAGATTTGTGTCCACACACAAAAAAAAATCTCACAGTGAAGTGTCCTAATTGTACATACCTTTAGTGTTCATAAACAATGTATCTAACCGTCCATATAACTATCAAATTATATAAACATAATAAAATCATTTGACAGTAATAATACCATAATTAACAACACTAGCCACAAACATCAATACTAAGAAAATAAGAATGGTATGGACAGGAAGAGTAAGAAAGCTATTCAAGCACCCAAAAGTCATAATCTAATCTAATAGACACCATAAAGAACTATCCTAACAGAGAGAATAGTTAGTGCATACATACTAAATTCATACAGCAGCTATCATATACTAAGTGCCTATTAAAGGCATATTTTCTATTAGATATATTCCTAAAAGCAAGTGTGCAGGGTGCATTTAGTATTCCACTTAAGAGAGTAGTGACCTGAGGACAAGACAACATAGTGTCCTGCCCAAAATTGCACAGCAGGTCTACCTCACTTCAAGTGTGCATGTGCAAGCATGTGTGTGAGAGACAGAGACAGAAAGAGAGAAAGGGAGACATGATCTCACTATCTAGTCCATGATGACCTGAAACTCACAGAGAGCTTCATGCCTCTGCCTTCCAGTGCTGGGATTAAAGGTACATGCCACCTGCAAATGGATGGAAATAGAAAACGCTTTACTGAGTGAGGTAACCCAGACCCAAAAAGAGGAATATGGTATGTACTCACTCATAAGTGGATTCTAGCCATAATTAAAGGACTTTGAGCCTATAATTTCTGACCCTAGAGAAGCTAAATAAGAAGATGAACCTAAAGAAAATCATATAGTTATCCTCCTGGATATTGGAAGTAGACAAGATTGCCAGGCAAAACTTGGGTGCACGGGAAGTGGGGTGGGGGAGTGGATGTAAAGGGAGATGGGTAGAGAGAAGGGAGAAGGGGAGGATTCAGGAAAACTTGGAGGAATGGGATGTGTGGGATGGAGGAAGGGTGGATATGGGAACAGGGAAATAAATATCTTAATTAAGGGAGCCATTTTTAGGGTTTTGCGAGAGACTTGATTCTACAGGGGTTCCTAGGTACAAGGGGAGGTCGCCAAATTGTTCCTTGGGCAGCAGAGGAGAGGGTGCCTGAACTGGTCTTGTCCCATAGCCACACTGATGAATATCTTACATATCACCATAGAACCTTCATCTGACGATGGATAGAGATAGAGACAGAGACCCACATTGGAGCATTGAACTTAGCTCCCAAGGTCCAAATGAGGAGCAGACGGAGGGAGAACATGAGCAAGGAAGTCAGGACCGCAAGGGGTGCGTCCACTCACTGAGATGGTGGGACTTTCTAATGGGAGCTCACCAAGGCCAGCTGGACTCGGACTGATGGAGCATGTGATCAAACTGGACTCTCTGAATGTGGCTGATGGTGGAGGCTGACTGAGAAGTCAAGGACAATGGTGTTGGGCTTTGATTCTACTGCATGGACGGACTTTGAGGGAGCCTTGTCTGTTTGGATGCCCACTTTCCTGGACCTGGGGGGAATGGGGAGGACCTTGGACTTCTCATAGGGTAGGGAACCCTGACTGCTCTTTGGCCTGGAGAAGGAGGAGGAGGGCGTGGGGGGAAGGGGAAGAAAGTGGGAGAAGGGGAGGAGGTGGAAATTTTTAATAATAATAATAAAGGTACATGCCACCATACCCAGATATTATCATTACTTTTTAAATCACAAAATCACATTAAAATTTTAACCAGCAGACCTTGTTTATATTCTATCATGTTTTAAAATGACTAAGAAAACAAAATAACAACTGCAGTCTCTGCTCTATCAGGTCTTCAATGGAGATTGAGGTTCTCTGACATAACCAGATGAACCAAAAAGTCTTTGCCTACAATATTTAAATGAACCAAAATGAAGTAAATATTCAGGCTAGTAGCTCACGTCTGTAATCCCAACACTTGAAAAGCTGAAACAGGAGAACTACCATAAGTTCAAGGCCTACAAGCAAACTCTAGACCACCTGAGGTTATAGTGTTAAGACACTGTTTCAAAACAGACACACATACCAATTCAAAACTTACAGTAAGTATAAGAAGTGCTTCTTAGTTAAGTGAAGGAAAATAGTAACTAAAATTAGCAATGTTAAGTAAAAGCTAGTTTCTGACTTCACAGAGGACTTCTATAGCTATACCTGTTAATTCTTTGTCAACATGACATAAACATATGTAGGAAGAGGGAATTTTTTAATTTATTAGATTTTTTAAAAATATCAATCCAAGTTCCCACTCCCTCTTCTCCTCCCATTCCCTCCACACACCCTCCCACCCCACCCCCATCTAATCCTCAGAGAGGGTAAAGCACATTGCCTTATGGAAGGTCAAGGCCCTCCCTACTATATCTAGGCTGAGCAAGGTATATGTCTAAAGAGAATAGGATCCCAAAAAGTCAGTACATGCAGTAGGGATAAATCCTGGTGCCACTGCCAGTGGCCCCTCAGTCTGTCCCAGTCATGCAAAGGAAGAGGGAATATTAATTAAGAAAACTCCTCCATAAGACTGGCCTGTAGGCAAGTCTATAGGGAATTTTCTTGATTAGTGATTGACATAAGTAGATCCAGGCCAATGGGCACAGTGACACCGCTAGTCAGGTGACCCTGGAGTATATAAGAAAGCAGGCTGAGCATGCTTTGAGAAGCAAGCCAATAAGCAGAATTCCTCCATCGCCTCTACATTAGCTCCTGCCTCCAGGTTCCTGTCCTGACTTCCCTCAGTGATGAACTCTGATGTTGAACTGTACTCTGTAGTGATGTTTTGTTGTGTTTTAACAAATAAAGCTTGCCTGAAGATCAGAGTGCAGAGCTAAGCCACTAGAGGCCAGGCAGTGGTGGCACACACCTTTAATCCCAGCACTAGGGAGGTGGAGACGGGAGTGGTATGCCTGGGCTGAGAGAGGAATATAAGTGGAAGGAGACAGCAAACAGTTACAGTCTGAAGATCACCCCTACAATCAGAGGACAAAGTCTGAGGAGACACTCTGGGGACAGGGTCACCCCTTCAATCTCAGCACTGGTAGAATTAGAAGAACTCTCTAGTGTCTGGCCACTCTGCGTCTCTGATCTTCAGCATTAACCCCTATATCTGACTCCGGGTTTTTATTATTAAGACCAAATAGAATTGTTGCTACAGTGATCTGAATTAAATCCTTTCCTCCCCAAGTTGCTTTTGGTCATGGTGTTTTATCACAGCCACAGAAACCCTCACAAAACAATAGTTTACTGGAAGAAGTTACAAATTGTGAAAGAAACTAAGAAAAGCCTGTAATTTATAGTGTAGTTAAAAACTCACACATTAGTCATGACTGTATTAAGTAATATATACTAACCATGGATCAAGGAGCCATTTAGCCACTGAATATAGTAGTTTTGAGGAAAAGCAAGCAGGATTTCATTACTGATGATTGAGAAGGGTAAAAGCAAAACAGCTCCAGCTGAAACTGCTAGAGTGAAGGTGCTCAGAAACAACCTGCAAGAGAGAAGAGACATCATCACTAGGGGTCTGGAAGGCGGTGAACATAAGAGCAACACCAGTGTGCTACACAGATTCCCATTACAGATATGCAACTGAAGGACAAATGGCATGCGCAGGGTCTAGAAAGTGCAGCCAGGTGAAATCCATAACGAGATCTATATACTGAAGAGACTACGGCACAGTTTTAAGAAATTATGTATTACTGTTGTTTGTGTGCATGTGAGAGAGCGTGCTATACAGGGGAATGGTGGTAGGGCATGCATGCAAGGTCAGAGGACAACTATGTGGAGTCTGTTCTCCTTCTACCTTTACACAGATTCCAATATTAAACCCAGGTCTCCAGGTTTACAAAGCAAGTACCTTGACACACACCCATCTCACCAGCCCCTGACATCTCATTTAAACAAGGTTAAATTATAGTAGTAAATAGCAGAGAGTAGTAAATAACACTCATCAATATTTCAAACACTACTTCAATACTTCCTAAATAATACAGCTTCAATACATAAAAATTAGGATCTAAAATAAATTAAGTCAACAAAACAAACTGAAGAAAAATGCTAACAATAAATACAAAGCAGGCTCTCTATTTACACCAAGAAATGCTTACATAATATCAGGAAATGTGTTGTTCCAAAATCCATCATCATTTATAACAACCCAAAGGACAGAGTGTAATCACAATGGGCTTTCACTTCCCAGTTACACATTTCTTAAAAACAAACTTTTATAACATCTAATTTTGAAAAAATATTTTTAAAAAATAAATAGCAAGGGCTGGAGAGATGGCTCAGTGGTTGCTGGTTCAATTCCCAGCAACTACATGGTGGCTCACAGCCATCTATAAAGAGATCTGGCGTCCTCTTCTGGAATGTGGTTATACATGGAAGGAATGCTGTCTACATAGTAAATAAATAAATCTTAAAAATAAATAAATACATACATAAATAGCAAGACAGAGGGAAGATAGATTTCTGTGAGTTAAAGCCAACCTAGACTTCATAGAGAGTTCCAGGTCAGCCAGGTCAACATAGCGAGACCCTGTCTCAGAAAAGAAGGTGAGAGGGAGAAGGAAGGAAGAAAGGAATGGAGGGAGGAATGGAGAGGAGAAGTAGGAAGGTGGAAGGGAGAAAGAAACCAGGCAGGCAGCAGACATAGCAGCAGTAATGGCAAAGGAAACTTAATTAGCACTAAAGATAGAACTTGAGTATCTATAACACTGAAGCTAATATTGAAAGAATGTAAAAAAAAATGTGAGAAATTTTTTAAATGTCATATTAATAAGACCATGTTGGCACATACTTTTAATCCCAGCATTCAGGAGGCAGAAGCAAGCAGATCTCTGAATTTGAGGCCAGCCTGGTCTAGAGAGCGAGTTCCAGGACATCCAGGACTACATAGAGAAACTGTCTTGAAAACAACAAAGTCATAATAAATGTTCCACCGTGAGTAACCTTGCACTCAGTGCCATCCTGTAGCAGACAGCAGAAGTGACTGCCTACACAGCTACAAGTACCTAGAAACCCCTGGGTTCAGTAAATCAAAGGGCAACTATTTAATGTAGATCAATGGAACACTCAAAACAAAACTCAACTCAGAAGCATCATGAAGGGGCTGGAGAGATGGCTCAATGGTTAAGAGCATTGCCTGCTCTTCCAAAGGTCCTGAGTTCAATTCCCAGCAACCACATGGTGTCTCACAACCACCTATAATGAGGTCTGATGCCCTCTTCTGGCCTGCAGACATATATGCAGACAGAACACTGTATACATAATAAGTAAATAAATAAATATTTTTTAAAAAAAGAAGCATCATGAATTAATCCAAAAAATGAAGAGCACGTTTCCTGAAAAAGTACTCAGAAAAGTTGCTCATCTGGAGTGAATGGCCGGATCCAGCCCAGAGAGGACACCATCACCCTGATTAGTATCATTCCTGCCAAGATCAAATCCAAATACTCACCACCCCAGAGCCTGCACAGCTCTCCCAATACTATAGGCCCCTCAGCAGGGCACATTTCAGTTTACACTTATTCCCCAACTGTTTTCTAACCCTCAATGGATTGTAGGCCATGGGAGTATACAAAAGGTGACAACTATTGTTCAACAGTCTACCAGATGAGTGATTCTGATGGGGAGTCCCACTTGGAAAGGCTGTGGGGTCACTAGCTAAAGAAAACTGTTTCTGCTGTAATTTTCTCAAGTGCCACTAAAAACAGCTATGGGTATTATTCCCACTGCTTGTGTGTTTATCTTGTGAAAATATTCTACCTACTGGGCACACATATAGTTGTAGATGGTCAAGAGGATGGATTTCTGCTCAACTGCATAATTCTGATGAATAGAAATAATACTAGGATTTTTTTATTACTCAGACTGACATAAGAAAATAATAGTATTCTCAGTCACTAAGACAGCTAGACAGCTAGTTTTACAAATTCAAAACAAATTAGTTTCCCTGGAGATGAATATATGGTTGCCCCTACAGACAAATATACAAGGTCAATTTCCCAGATGTTTATTACTGATTTATGACTTTAGTAGACATAACTTTCTCAGCAATTGACTTTCTGCACATACTCTCAACCTGAAGGTTCAGTCAACTAACTGTTTATTGTTTAAGTCCTGAACTTCAATGTACTTTCTGTCTGGGAACCCTGTTTACTTTACACACTAGCCGGTCAGCATGATCTCCCTAGCCTGAGAAAAACTGTGTGATCAGTTTAGCTCTGTTTCTTATTGTTTACTCAAGTAGTGTTGTGACCCTGAAGATGTGATTCATAATTGCTCAGAGGTTTTGGAGAATAGCAGGAGACAGGTAGGGAGAAATAGGAGAGAAGTATGATGGAGAGAGACATGAGAGAGAGAGAGAGAGAGAGAGAGAGAGAGAGAGAGAGAGAGAGAGAAGTGTTATGTAAAGAGATGTAGATGTGTGGAGACAGAGAGATTTTCGGAAAGAGATTTTTCAAGATGAAATAAAAGAAAAGTTACCATTAGAAAGTGTTTCCTTATTTACCCCACAGATGGAAAAGTCTAGCCCTCACCACCTTCGTGGATTTTTTTCATACCCTGAAGACAGCCTTGGAGTAGGATCCCCAAAAGGTCACCAGTACTACAGGTCACTCTCTTTCTCTTGGGTGCCCATACAACACTCCACATGGCAGATGTACCTGAATAGCAAGACAGACCTCAAATGCCATTTGCTTGTCATGTGTCCCTCCATTCCTATCTTCTTGATCCTCTCAGTAAAATCAGCCCCTCTTTCCTCTTACCCCCCATAACACTGACCACAAACTAGGTTAACATAACTTCAAAATCCAATTCTAGAACACATGACCTGACAAAAGGAGTTCAGTTATGAGACAAAGAGATAAATCATCAGGTCACAAATGTCCCAGAAAATCCCGTATATATGTCTCCATTACTATAATGCTGCTTTTCAACAGCTATGAAGCCTCCACTTCACACTTCGTTACTGTGACAAACCTACCCAGAAAGCAGAAAACCACTTTTACTGCTTACAACAAGTTACTCATAAAAGGTTCATGTAGAGTTAATACTGACAAAGAGTCCTTAAAATAAGGCCCTGAATTGGAAACGTTTAGTAGAGACATGGCTTGTGCAATCATAAAACACGCCCTTTCAGAAATGTCACCTTCTAAAATGCAGTAGTAAAAAGAAGATTCTACATACAGAATATTATACCTTCTATGATTATGGTAGTCGTAAAACAAAAATATTTTCTTGAATATCTGTCATTTGTGACTATCTCCTTAAACAAGAGGGTGTGTGGACTTATTTGGATGCTAAATGTTACCAGTGACTCAGAATGCCATCATCTACAGGCCATAGTAAATTATTTCAACAAGTCTGCCACACACACTTCCAGGTAGCAAATGAGGCAGGACCTCAAATGTTGAACCTTGTATATTTCAAGCAGATAAGTACTTCCTTCTTTCAACTCTACAACTTCTTCAGCATTCCTTCCTTCTTATCTGCACACTATGAAATGCACCAACATGTCATCCTAACTGTTTTTGGTTTGAATCTAAAATGTCTCCACAGATTTATATTTTGTGGCACCATTTAAAAACTGCTATATATCTCCATGAAGTGGGGCCTGGCTGGCAAAATTAGGTCACTAGGTTTCACCCATTGCTGGTTCCAGCCTGTATGTTTGCTTTATTTTCTGGTCCATCTGCAGGTAACAAAAAATTGACATACACTGCCAACACTGTGGACCATGCAACTGCATAAAAATAAACCTTTATCACCATAGAACCTTCATCTGGCGATGGATGGAGATAGAGACAGAGACCCACATTGGAGCACTGGACTTAGCTCCCAAGGTGCAAATGAGGAGCAGAAGGAGGGAGAACATGAGCAAGGAAGTCAGGATCATGAGGGGTGTACCCACCCACTGTGACGGTGGGGCTGATCGAATGGGAACTCACCAAGGCCAGCTGGACTGGAAGTGATGGAGCATGTGATCAAAATGGACACTCTGAACGTGGCTGGCAATGGAGGCTGACTGAGAAGCCAAGGACAAAGGTACTGGGTTTTTATTCTACTGCATGGACTGACTTTGTGGGAGCCTGGTTTGTTTGGATGCTCACCTTTATAGACCTGGATGGAGGGGAGAGGACCTTGGACCTCCCACGGGGCAGGAAATAAGCAAGTAAGAAAAACTGAAGTGGCAATGATAAGGCAAGTCAGACTCTGACTGAACACAGAACCAACATGGCTCCTGACAAGCCATGGAGAGAGGAGTCAAAGGCAACTGAGAGGCTGGTGTCTCATGATGTGCAGACAACAGGCTGAACAGGGAAATGAGGATACCAGCCTTAGACAGGTGAAAGACTATCACAAGCTGTACAAACATAAAATTAGCCTTGGCCTTTCCCTACCCAGCCCTTCGATTATCCTCCTTCAAGGAATTCTGGTTCTGAGTGGGAAATTCTACTTAAACATGGCCTGGGCACAAACTCGGATGCACGGGGAGACCCTGACTGCTCTTGGGGATGGAGAGGGAGGAGGGGAGGGAGTGGGGGGAGTGGGAGGGGGTTGGGAGGAGGGGCGGAAATGGAGTCTTTTGTATTTTAATAAACTTTGAGAAAAAAAAAAAAAACATGGCCTGGGCATTATATGGAATTTCTGCTACTGGGAGACATCTTCAGGAGGCAAAGTGGAGGCATACACACTCTGCCATGTACAAAAACATGGCCACATTCACTTTTATACTGCAGTTCTACTTCTTGTAGGTGTTGAAAACCATGTGTTCACAATAGCATAACCCCAACTCCAAACCAACAACTCGGTGGTCATTTTTGTTTTCTCCTTTTTCCCTTAATTTTTGGTTCCTATTGACTTTAATTAAGCCTCCCCACCATTACAAGGAACCAATTTTCTACTGTACTGATCCCAATTCTATACAGACACATACCTTCCTGTCTGGGTAGCTCCCCATTCTGGACTGAATGGTCTTGACACTCAAAATATCCTCCTTCGCCAATTCAGCTCAAACACCCTTAGCAGGCTCCTCCCTTTGGCATGGGCACCCTCTTTTATCTGTGGTGACACTGACACTCTCATAGAGAACTTGTCACCTTTTGGGTTCCCTGAAACTGGAGTTAGGGATGGTTGTGAGCCACCATGTGGGTGGTAGGACCCAAACTCATGTCCTCTACAAGAGCAGTCAGTTCTCTTAACCACTAAGTCATCTCTTCAAGCCCAGATTTCACATTAAAAAGGCAAAATCTAATAGAAAGAACTTAACTGTTTCCCATTCAATTTAATACTTCAAAAATTAAAGTACATTTCTATAATATCTCCTCCACATACATTAGGAACTTACAAAGCAATCAGACCCCTCTGTGCTCTCTTTAGGCAAATGTGTCACTCTGAGCAAAAAATCTACCTGCTGCTTGCTTCATAGAGTCTGCTCAGGACACAAATGGCTGAAAACAGTTTAATAGTTTTCCTTTTTTTCTCAGAGTCTTGCTGTGCAGCCCAGGCTGTCCTCAAACTCTCAATCTTCCTGCCTCCACCTCTAGAATGTTGAGACTATAAGCCTGTGCCCACTATACCAAACTAGGTTTTTCCTAAACAACCATTCTACCTTTAAGCTCTTTTCCTTATTAAAAAAAAAAATCTCCTGAAAAAAACAAAAAAACCCAGGATAGCCAAAACAATCTTATACAATAAAGGAACTTCTGGAGGCATTACCATCCCTGACTTCAAACTCTATTACAGAGCTACAGTATGGAAAACAGCTTGGTATTGGCATAAAAACAGAGAAGTCGACCTACGGAATTGAATAGAAGACCCGGATATTAACCCACAAACCTATGAACACCTGATTTTCGACAAAGGAGCTAAAATTATACAATGGAAGAAAGAAAGCATCTTTAACAAATGGTGCTGGCATAACTGGATGTCAACCTGTAGAAGAATGAAAATAGATACATATCTATCACCATGCACAAAACTCAAGTCCAAATGGATTAAAGACTTCAATATTATTCTGACCACATAGAACCTGATAGAAGAGAAAGTGGGAAATAGTCTACAAGACATGGGCAGGAGACCACTTCCTAGGTAGAACTCCAGTAGCATAGACAATAAGAGCAACAATGAATAAATGGGACCTGCTGAAACTGAGACGCTTCTGTAAAGCAAAGGACACTGTCAGTAAGACAAAAAGGCTACCTTCTGACTGGGAGAAGATCTTCACCAACCCCTCATCAGACAAAGGTCTGACCTCCAAAATATACAAAGAACTCAAGAAACTAGACATTAAAATTCTAATTAGCCCAATTAAAAAATGGGGTACTGAACTGAACAGAGAATTCTCAACAGAAGAACTTCGAATGGCCAAAAGACACTTAAGGTCATGCTCAACCTTCTTAGCGATCAGGGAAATGCAAATCAAAACTACTTTGAGATACCATCTTATACCTGTCAGAATAGCTAAAAATCGAGAACACCAATGATAGCCTATGCTGGAGAGGATGTGGAGTAAGGGGACCACTCATCCATTGTTGGTGGGAATGCAAACTTGTGCAGCCACTTTGGAAATCAGTGTAGCGGTTTCTCAGGAAACTGGGAGTCAACCAACCTCAGGACCCAGCAATCCCACTCTTGGGAATATACCCAAGAGATGCCCTATCATACTACAAAAGCATTTGTTCAACTATGTTCATAGCAGCACTATTTGTAATAGCCAGAACCTGGAAACAACCTAGGTGCCCCTCAATAGAAGAATGGTTAAAGAAAGTGTGGAACATATACACACTGGAGTTTTACTCAGCAGTAAAAAACAATGACATCTTGAATTTTGCATGCAAATAGATGGAAATAGAAAATGCTTTACTGAGTGAGGTAACCCAGACCCAAAAAGAGGAATATGATATGTACTCACTCATAAGTGGATTCTAGCCATAATTAAAAAACTTTGAGCCTATAATTCATGATCCTAGAGAAGCTAAATAAGAAGGTGAACCTAAAGAAAATCATATAGTTATCCTCCTGGATATTGGAAGTAGACAAGATTGCCAGGTAAAACTTGGGTGCACGGGGTGGGGGGGATGTAAGGGGAGATGGGTAGAGAGAAGGGAGAAGGGGAGGATTCAGGAAAGCTTGGGGGAATGGGATGGGTGGGATGGAGGAAGGGTGGAAATGGGAGCAGAGAAGTAAATATCTTAATTAAGGGAGCCATTTTAGGGTTTGCAAGAGACTTGATTCTAGAGGGGTTCCCAGGTCCAAGGAGAGGTCCCCAGATTGTTCCTTGGGCAGCAGAGGAGAGGGTGCCTGAACTGGCCTTGTCCCATAGCCACACTGATGAATATCTTGCCTATCACCATAGAACCTTCATCTGGCGATGGATGGAGATAGAGACAGAGACCCACACTGGAGCACTGGACTGAGCTCCCAAGGTCCAAATGAGGAGCAGAAGGAGGAGAACATGAGCAAGGAAGTCAGGATCATGAGGGGTGCATCCACCCACTGAGACAGTGGGACTGATCTAATGGGAACTCACCAAGGCCAGCTGGACTGGGAGTGATGGAGCATGTGATCAAACTGGACTCTCTGAACGTGGCTGGCAATGGAGGCTGACTGAGAAGCCAAGGACAAAGGTACTGGGTTTTTATTCTACTGCATGGACTGACTTTGTGGGAGCCTGGTTTGTTTGGATGCTCACCTTTATAGACATGAATGGAGGAGGGAGGACCTTGGACTTCCCACAGGGCAGGGAACCCTGACTGCTCTTAGGACTAGAGAGGGAGGGGGAGGGGGGAGGGGGAGGAAAAAGGGAGGTGGGGAGGAGGTGGAAATTTTTAATAAATAAATAAATAAATTTTTTTAAAAAATGAGATTATTATCGATATATTTTGGGGAAAAAAATCTCCTGAAGATGAAATCTGTCATTTCTTTGAATAAGCACTTAGAAGGGGAAGGAAATATGATCTCATGTAGCCTAGGCTGCCCTTACTTACTATGTAGCTGAGGCTAGCCTTGAACTCCTGATCATCCCACCTCCCCCTTATCATTATTAGAATTACAGGCATGTGCCACACTCAGCTTGAATAAACACATTTTAGCAAGAAACAATCAGTTCTAAAGTAACCATGTGTATTTGCTTACAGGTGCTTTTTAAGAATATTATTAATAAGGATTAGTACTTAAGGCAATTATTTCCTTTAGACTCTAACTTCAAAACTATAAACAGAACAATTAAATTTTGGAATACTATGGTTTGAAAGAAAGTGGCCCCCAAAGGGAGTGTCACTGTTAGGAAGTGCGGACTTGCTGGAGAAAGTCTGTCAGTGCAGGGGCGGGCTTTGAGGTAGACCTCCTGCTGTCTCTAAGTCAAGATGTAGGATTCTCAGCTCCAATACCACATCTGCCTGCATGCTGTCATGATCCCCATCCTGATGATAATGTATTGAACCTCTGAAACTGTAAGCGAGCCACCTCACTTAAATGTTTTTATTTATAAGAGTTGCTGTGGTCATGGTGTCTCTTCACAGCAGTAGCAAACCTAACACACAAATACATACGATATCCTGTTGACTACAGCATCCTCATCTTCTTGTTCATCTGCAAAAAAAAAAAAAAGGTTTATAGTGTTACTGTTTTATCTCCAACAAAGTATTTTATGAATTTATCTTTAAAAAGTACCAGGGGGTTGGAGAAATGGCTCAGCGGTTAAGAGCACTGACTGCTCTTCCAGAGGACCCGAGTTCAATTCCCAGCACTCACGTGACAGCTCACAACTGTCTGAAAATCCAGTTCCAGGGGATCTGACACCTTCACACCAATGCACATAAAATAAAAGATAAATAAATCATAAATATTAAAAAAATAAAAAAATAAAAAGTACCAAAAATAGAAAGTTTAAGATATTCAACTGCTAAATGAAAAAGTCTTTCAAAGAGCATTTTGTAAACTTCAACAAAGACCCAAATATAAATTTGGTTATAACATGTTAAGTGGGTATAACTAAAAAGTGAGTTGTGAATTTTTTTTGAAAAATGTTGATTAACTATTTGTAAATTAAAATTTTACAAACACACAGTCTCAAAAAATAAAACTTAGAACCACAGGATGATTGTGAAACACATGTGCACAATGTCAAGATAAACAGCCAACAGACATCTCTATTATAAAATGTCATACTCTTAGAACTCATACCTTTCTTTAATTTGAATTTTCATTAGTAAATAAAATGCTAATACTTTCTTAACTATTCTAAACTACCTTGGATAGCATCACCTCAACAATTTGAAAGCACTGTCCAAGTTACAGACAGGAAAAAAAAATATAGCATTTTCCGTATTTCTTTAAATACCAGGCAGACTTCATTAGTAAACCTTCCTCTCCCCTCTTCCTCTCTAAGGCTCCTCAGTCACAATCTCTTTTGTCCTTGATCATAAACTTACCAGCCAAAGAGATTGCCTAAGAACACAAATATTGCAAAACCCTCCCAGTTCTTCTAGCTCCTCATCTGTCTCATGTTCTGAAAGGCTCTCCTTGGATCTCCGAACCTCTGGGAGCTCACTTGCCTCAGTGTCAGTCATGAGTTTTTGCCATTCTTTGTAGTGTCTATTATGAATTACAGACTTCCCAAAATAACCACAGTCAAAGGCACCACGAAATCACACCCATGATTAATTTTTATCCTGACACCCCTACACCTAACCCATCACCAAGTTCGGAGAAAAAGTTCACTACCTCCTTATACATGCCCATTCTATTCCAACATCAAGGTCAATAGTCTTTCTCAGTCCCTGAGACTACTGTGTTAAGATCTTCTAAGTATAAAGATTTCTTGTGCATCACCCTTAATTTCCCCTTAAACAATGCATTTATGTTTTTCACTCAAACCCTCTCCTTTCTCCTATGTGTGTAATCTTTGAAGCCATGTGACCAAGTATCTTTAAAACAACTGAGGCACTATCTTGAATCTGCAGACATTCAAATTTTTGGCAGACTACATGATCCAAAGAACATTTCCAAACAGTCACAGAGCCAGGGGACGGCTCTAAAACATCATACTGCAACATACTGCTGTTTGGTGAGTTTTAAGCTGCTAATATTTTATCAAAGAATCTTTAACACATGAAACCTTTAAGCATCATACAGCTTCGAACATCAGCCCAGCAGCACAGGTAGAAAATATTATGATTTAAAAAAAAAAAGCTGAGAATTAGCAAAAGACTGTAAGGCATATGCTAGAAAACATATAAAATTCTGACCAAAAATGTGTGAATTGATCAGTCAATTAAATAAATAATAAAGACATGAAAAACACAAAAATGATTAACTCAGGACAAAATGAAATAATACAAGGATACTATATAATTAAATACCAGTACAATTACGGATACTGTAAATTCTACATTGCTTTGGAAAAGGAAAACAGGGTCTGGAGAGATGGCTCAACAGTTAAGAGTACTTGCTGGTCTTGCAGAGAACCCAGGTTTGATTCTCAACAATTATATAGAGGCTCATAGCTATCTGTAACTCTAGCTCCTGGGGATTCAACACCCTCTTCTGGCCTCTGCAGACATGAGGCATGAATACAGTGCACAAATACACATGCAGGCAAAACCCATAGCACAAAAAGAGTAAATAAGCAAACACATCTTTCTTAAAAGAGAGACAGAGACAGAGAGAGGCAGAAAGAAACAATGAGACAATTCTATAGTGAGAAAATGAAGGGGGCTGGGGTGAATAGGATGTTCAATTAGAACCAGCCACAAGGAACCAAACACCCTCATAAACTCTGGATTTTCCAAGTAGTAACTAGCCAACACTATTCTTAGCTGGACATGAGAATTGTGATAAGCAAGGACTCTGGTCTAGTAAGGTGACTCTGAACATAGTCAGGTTCCCTAGGGGTTATTTTTAGTGTTCTTAGTACCAGGCAACTGTTTACTTCAGTCACCAGCATATTCAGCATGGCTGAACTGCAGTGTGTGGGTGAAGCCCATATACCACCCCACATAACCAGTTCTGATGAAAGCTGTAACAAAAACGTTTCTACTTGCCTGATTTTCTCTTGTATCTTGTAATGATGAAGTAGGAAACAATGTAGAGGACGGCAAAAAGAAGAAAACATATCTGAAATGAAATTTAACAGGTCACTTACATTTTTGCCTGTCATTTTTATTTTTAAAAAAAGGTTTAATCTTTGGTATCTAAAGAAAATGAAGGATCAAATTATTGAAAAGTGAAACTTTTGGACATTTCACAAATGTAATGTTTTAATTAAAAATATTAATGTATGTGAACTGGTAAATTCTGAAGATCTGCAGTTTAATACTATTTTGGTGAGAAAGCCCACTGGGAAGTTTCTCTTTTCATAACTTGAGCAAATGTTTTTCAAAGTCATGTAGAAATGTAAAAAGCCAAACCATCATCAACAATTCTGAAAACTGAAATCAATGAATACACATTGGTTACCTGAAAAGCAAGGCATGATAAGAGCTTCAATAATATGTATAGGATATGCTGGTAACACAACCTGACAATCACATGAAGCTTTAGCATAAAAGAAGCATTACAGCTCAATGTGGATAAAATAACTGATTAATAAATATACCACACATCAAAAATAAAATTCTTTATTCAGCTGTGGTTTAATTCTTAAAGATAAATTCCATTTACTTTGTCTAATAAAAACTGTATGGTAGAAATATGACCTGAGGTTCTGCTACTCATGCACAGCAGTGCTCTCCCCCACTGTGCTAATGGAGGGAGTGGCTTGTAGGCTTACCATCTGCACTGATTAGAACTTACAATGTACTCTCAGGGTTTTTAATATGCACTGTTCTTCACCACATCACTACATCACACAACAGACCTAATAAACTCACTCTTATGAACTTTGGCATCCACTGGCCACACCTCAACATGGCAGTTCCCTTTCTGGTCCCTGAACTGTTATTCTACTCTCAGTGTCTATGAGCTCAAATTGTTTAGATCACATGTACAAATGAAACTATTTGGTACCTATTTTTCTATATACACAGACTTCACTTGGCAGAATATCCCCAGATAATCCCTTGTTGTCACAAACTGCAATTTCCTTCAGGCTAACTGGTACATGTAAGGATCACCACATTTTCTTTACCCATTCATCTACTGACACACACCATCAGTCATCTCTGTAACCCGACATGGTGAAGAACCCTGAGCAGTGTCTCTCATAAATCAATTCATTTCTTTTGAATGTGAATCCATAATGGAAGAGGCGGACAACTTGGAAAATTTGCTTTGCATTCTGGAGAGCACACCATGCTGTTTTGGTGCCAGTGATACACAATGTTTCCTTTTTTTCCATTTCCAAGTCCTCAACAGCACTTCCCTCTTGCTCTTTGGAAACAGCCATTCCAACAGGTATGAGGTGAGTCTTTCTTTCCATTTCTCTATGACAAAGGATGCTAAGTACATTTTCTTACACCTGTTGTCCATTTGTATGTCTTCTTTTAAGAAAAGTCTTTTGCCCATTTGTATTAGGACCATTATGCTTACATTGCACTCCTTTTATCAGAGCTGGGACGACAAAGGGGTAAACAGGGAAGGTCACGAAACAGGATATCCATCAAAGACCAAATGCTAAAAATAAAGCCTCGGTCAAGCTTATGGAGCATGTGGGAAAATATGAAGACTTCCAGAGTGTTGAAATCTAGGGGGCATCCTGAGCACGGACCTCTCAGGATAAGCTGGTGGGATATGACAACAAAGACTTTGGACCTGGGTGGCTGTCACCTCTGTAATGACACCACTTAGAAAACAGCAATTAAATGAAGAGGAGCACTACCAACTGAGTGTCAGTATTCTCAGTGTTAGTGAGAATCCAGGCATCCGTACCGGTCTGCCCTTAGAGTACTGACAGGATAATGCATCCTCAGCTGCAGCTACTAAGAATACCACCTGTGCACACTTGCTATGTTCTCTTATAAAAAGCAGGCCTTGCCCACCTCCATCTCTTTCTTTTTCACCACTCTTGCCCTCAGGGACCAGTCTCTGCTTCCCTCTCTGCCCACTTCTCTGCCCCTTTCTCTATCCTCTTCCAATAAACCTCTCATGTGAGCCCTGCTGCATGGCATGACTCCTTCCCACCATTTTTAAATAAATTGTAACATTTATGCTGTGACCCTGACAGACTATCCTGGCACTTCTCTGGCCCAGCAGCAATCTGAGGCTTGCCAGGACCCTGGAACCCGGTCCACATATGACAGTCTCACTTCTCCACCTAAGGGATGACTGGGTCCCTCCACTGAACACTGGCATGAATGGTAAGCCCCCTTCTATGGCCATTCCCCACAAGTGAGTATTCGCCTCTTGACAGTGGTTTCTCGCCTCTTCAACAAGCCCTGATATCAGGCAACCACATCTCTCGGAACTCAGCACACATAGCCCCTGTGCCTCCTCAAATCCAATCCTCTCTGGATTCCTGGGAAGATAGGAATTGAAGACCCTTGGATCTTACTTCTCTACCTCACTCATGGGACCTATGTCTTCCACTATATCTCCGCGGAATACCTTTGGAAAACCTCAAACTTTTGTCATATCTGGCCCAAATACCCCCTAAATAACCATCCAAATGACTGCTTCCCAGCACCCTATATCCCAATATTTTACAGGACCTTTACAACATTCTGCCAGTGATCTGATAGCTGGAAGGGAATTCCCCATTTTCAAACCTTCTCTCTGTACTCTCTTCCTGTTCCTCTACTCAGTTGCTGCTAGTTAGAAAGCCTGTTAAGTTACATTTGCTCCTTTTCATTAAGTGAACTCTCTCAAACAGAGAAAAAACTGGGGTTTTATATGTCTGCTTCTTTCATTAAAGAATTCCAATATTATTTTCCACAGCAACAGCCTGCCTCTGCTGCCAAAGTAGTTACATGCCACTAGGTAACTTTTAGTCATCAGCTATGTGACATGTGTACCCTTTAAAGGTGCCCACCAGGCAGAGTTCATTCTCTTTGCCTTTGCCTTTTACTCCTTTCTTTGTCTCCAAGTTCCTCCCTTGCCCCCTTTTTTCTCTCGTGCTTCTCTCCCTCCTGTCTGTCTGCCTCTCTCAAGTTCCCACTCCGATGCAGCCTTTCACGCTTTCACGCTCCCCCTCCCAATAAACCTCTAGCACTAACTCCATTGCATGTGGCAAGTTTGCTTAGTGGCGTTCCTGGCAGGGACCGCCAGAGGTAGCCACTTCACGCTAGGAGCCTACCCGCCTGCTCCACCTGCACAGATGCACTCTCTTTCATTTGTAACAAATCTGCTTTCTTGTTCACTCACAGCTTTGCCTTCTATTTAATACCAACAATTGGGTCTTTGGAGGGGCTCCCTGCCTCTGACCATTCCCCTGGATATGAAGCTTCATTTCTTGAGCACAGTGCACTCCTTGTCTTCTGCCTTTTCTTGAAGTCCTGGTACCAGGCAACTGTGTCTCTCTTGGGTTCAGAGCCCTTGGCCCTGTGCTTGCATGATGACATATTGAACAGCTTGTGACTACTCAATCTGATCCTCCCTGAATTCCTGGATCTGTCTCATCCTTGGGAACTGTGTCATACATCTCCTCGCTTTTAAGATCCACTGACTTACTTTCAAATCAAATCTGGCCTCAGTATTCTTTGGACCAGGCAGTCATGGAACAGAGAAAAAATTCTCCACTTTCTTCCTTTTTTTCTTTGCTCCAAGACCTGCGTATGTCTGTCTGCTCTCCCCTTCTATATGCCCTGTCTGTTTGTGGCAATGTGTGGGTTAGATGGAGTTTCCTAGCACTCAGCACACACCAGTTGGTTCTTTTTTTCTTTTTATTTACCCAACTCTTGTTTAGTGTATGTGTGTGTGTGTATTTGTGTGTGAATGCATGTGACTGTATTTAACCTTTTATGTGTAAATGTAAGCTGGGTTTAATTTTGCATGTATGTGTATGTAACTTGGATTCAATTCTTTGTATATGTGCATGTAACTACTGGCTAGAAAAACATGTTTTAAACAGTAACCACGTGGCTCTCCTCCATCTTAGCTGATGACATACAATGATGTAAGCAGCTACATGGCTGGCAGCCATCTTTTACTAAGGTTAAACAGTACATTTATTAGTCCTAATGAACCCTCTGTTCATTTTATCTCCGTTTAGACTAAGAAATGCAACAAGTCTCAAATATTTTGAATTGGTATAGACTGTATGATGGTAGAAATGTAAAGTTATATGTGATTCAACTCTGGTTTAGAATATACTCTATATCATGATAAAAAAATTAAGGCTATAAAGGTCTATTCAGATTAAGAAAAGCTGACTTAGAGATTTACACCTAAGTACTTACATCTTTGTCATGTGGTCAATACCAAGCTTCTAGAGAATTTAAATAAGTGATGTCATATATTTGATAAATAAGCTATTTAATAAACAAGATATATATTCTATAATGGAGTTTCTGGCCCCCCAAGAGGGTCCTTTTTCCAGAGTTGGGCATTTGGGCAGAGGGCTCATGGCTTGCCAAGAGCAATGCTGGCCTCTGTGCTCCTTCAGTTCCTGCTCACAGGCCCCCTTCTCCTGTTTCTATGTGGCCCTGGTGATCTTTCCTGTCCCTTTTTCTTGTCTTCTCAGGACAAGTACTGTGTGGTACAAATTTGTTCTGTTTCACTTTTTACTATTGACGGCCCTTAGTCATCAACCACCTGTGTCCTGGTATCGGATGGAAAGAGGGTGGATGGGAAGGACCAGGTGTGTTAGGTTTGTTTATGTGAAGACAGGAAAGCTTAAATGCTGATGAGGAGAAAGCGATCTGAGATGTATAAAAGAATAAAACATGTTCCAGATTTCTCTCGTGCGCTCTGTTACTGTTCACAATCTTGACATTAATTAATGGAATTCTGGTAAGCCATTAGTCTAGTTCTGGCGGAGCACTAAACATTATACTCTACCACTATAGTATCACAGCCACAAGCTCAGGATTTTAAATTCTCTTTGGTTGCTTTCTAATGTGTCTAAAACATATCTCTGTGTAAATTCAAAGTTCTCGGAGCTCCAGGGAGTTGCCTCGAACGCACTTCAAACAGCATTTTGCTATGTCCAAGTGGTGCCTGATGGTTCCACAGAGCCTGGA